TCAAGTTCCATATAATAATTCCACAGAGATGAGTATAGTAGGTGTGCTAGGCCTATCTTATGAAACCTTCTGATCTTAAAAGTAATCATTGCCAATTAGTATTCGATGACGAGGACCCCACTTTGAGACTAATAATATTGTTTTGTTAAACTGATATTAAAGTTTTTCTTCATTACCCATTCAAGCCGTCGCCAAGCATTATTAGAGAACTAGTATAGTTGGTGTTCTAGGGCTATCTTAAGAAACCTTCTGATCTTAAAAGTAATCATTATAACCTACAGCTCCCTCTAGATAACATTTTAGTTACATTAAAAATATAGCTTACAACAGTAGTACAATCAGAAGAATAAAAAATAATAATAAAAATCTTTATTCATTTTTTTATGTAACGTTAAATAACGGATTCGACAACTAGACAAATAAAAGCTTTTTCGAAAATAAGAAGATATTTACCACTCTCCATTAGTCAAAGTGTAGCCTGGTTATTAGCGTAGCGGGATTCGGATCGAAAAACTCAGAGGCTGGAACATGTGATAAGTCTTCTTTGATAGATTGTTTAGGCAGAGTTTTCATAATGAGTAAAAAAGTGTAGAAGACGACGTTTCGAAAGACTTTCCAAACGTCGTCCGCTACACTTATGTTTTTACAACAGACAGTTGCCGTCCACAACAGTTTGTTCATCGTGCGATGAGTCGTTTAATACGCGCCACACCTTCAGCTGTGTGCGCGTTATAGGCGTGAAAGTCAATCCTGCTTTTTGATTATGCGTGTAGGCGGTGGGAGCTGCTAACTAGTTGCTCTACCTGTAATCAGACTTGATTTGTGTTGAATTTCGCGTAAAGCTATCGAGAGCTACCTGCGCTAGCCGCCCCTAAGAGAGGAAAGGCAGATAGTCATCACCAACCACCACCAAAAATTGGGTTACTCTTTTACCAACGAATAGTGACATTATACCGCCCCCACGGTTGAAAGAGCGAGCATGTTTGGTAGGATGGAGATTCGAACCTGCAGATTGCGAGTCCAGAACCCTAACCACCTGGCCATTCCAGGGTCAGCAATTCCAAGTTACGATCGCAGTGCTAGAACCTTTGGGTATTTCATAATATGCCGTTCGGATGGAAAACACCAAATGAGGAATAACCATTTGTATAATATTAAGATAGCTTCATGCTTAGCAAACAAACAAACAATGCTTTTGTGTTGTACCAAACTTATAAGAGCTTTTCCACGTAAATGTAAAACAAATGGTCACTAGCTGTTTGTGATTTTATCCAATATAAAAAAAAAACCTTCCTTTTAGTCACTGCAGCGTGAATAAAACTTTAAACATATATTTCAGTTGCAGTGGAAATCAGTTTTAAAATCTTTGGAAAGAATGAAGAAAATCATGGCAACAGCCAGAATTATCAGGATGTTTTTCTACTACATTAATGAAAAAGATGTCAACATATTAGTTATTACTCTCTGAACATACGTCTGTTTTCCACCAAACTCAACATTTGTACAAAGTTCGGTCAAACTCTAAAAAGGTCCATCGGGAGTAAAGTGTTTTAAGAAAAACAACTAGTTGAACTGTATTTATTTTGACGGTGACTTTAGACTTGGTTAATTAAAGATAATTAATATTTCCAAATTCACAATTTATTAAATTAAATCATGAAGGCTGTTATTTTATTGTAATATAAAATTATACATTTTTACTTTTTATGTAGTATGTTAAAAATACCTCGCATAAGTAAGAATTATATCGCAAATTTCTTTTTATATATTATACTTTAAACCAAGGATAAACTACCGTTCTTTTCAAAACTTTTGTTGTTACAGAAAAGTTAAATCACTGAAATGTCAACTTTGGGAGTAAAACAATTTGTATCACCCTCACTGTAACTTTAAAGAAAAGTAAAACGTTATGTAGTAGCGTAGTTTTCTCGTTGGCGGATTTTAAAACTTATCTGTTGAAAATAATTCAACGTCAAGTTCATGCAACGGTGGTAAATTACTTTATTTACAATTTTAACTTTCTACACACTTGAACACTGCTGTAGGCCTACTTTTTAAATGACGTCAACTAACGTAAAACAAATCAAATTATTTTTTCAAACTAACCACATTGTATGATTCACGCTGTCTTAATATAGAACCCTCTATCTTCGAGTAACTCCAAACTCTCTTTACTATGTCTTTGACTAGCTTTCAATGCACTGTCTGACCTCACGATGCTTCACGGAATGTCGTATTTATAATCTACTTTCGAATATACTAGAATTTTACGTCATATTTTTAGAACTTCCTAGTAGGCGTTTTAGACTTATTTCATTAAACCTTCTTGTCTTAGTCATCACTAAGAGCTGCACCTCCCTCTAGCTAATACTTAAATTACAACATTAAAAACACAGCTTATCATACTGCTGCCTTCCTGGACTGTGAAGTCCCTTGAATAATCCTTATACAATAATTTAATAATAAAAAGCTACACTCAGTTTTTAATTCACTAAGTCTTTTCAGCTGTTTTCTATTCCATAGTTCAGGGTATAAAGGTGGAAGGTATCTTGTCCCTTATTGTCACTAGCAGTCCTGTCACTGGGGGATTTCGGTGATTCGATCCTTGATTATCCTCTGGAACACTGCACTACTTCACAAGTTGAAGTTATGCTGTTAGGTTCTTTTGTACTTCGCTTTTGACGTCGTCAATCAATGTTCTTCTATATTTTGCTGATGTCTTACTGCCTTTCTTCATCTTCTTGTTGTAATCCTTTAGCACCTCCCCTATACCTCCATCGATCTTGTCTTCAATCAGATTTATTTTTGATTTTAATTTTTCTTCTAAATAGTACTTCTACTTGTAACTATTCTCTTAAATTTATGTCTCTTACCTTTGATCTCCTTTTAATTTTCTGTAAATTTCTTCTTGATTTTATTTTTTCTGTCTCAATCTTCCTAATCTTTTACTTGTCTAACGCCGCCTTCTAATTTTCTGTCCCGTTTTTAGATCTTTTAATTTATCTCTTTCTTCTTTATATACTGAGTCTCATTTTGTTCTCCCTTCCATTGTTTTATCGTGTCTTAACAGGTTTCCTATGTCAGTTTGTGTCTTTATGATCATAGTCTTTTAATTTGCTATTACATTCTTCTTGGTCTAGTTTAATGAAAGTTGAAGTCAAAGTTCAATTTCATTCTACCAAAATAACATCCCACTTCTGACACCATTGTAATAGTATAATTCTCTCGCTGGCGGGTTCTTTTAAATTATCTGGTAAAAATAATTCAACGCCCAGTCTACGTAACGATAATAAATTACTTTATTTCCTCCTTTAAAGTTCCTACAAACTTCAATACGTGTACACTGCCGTAGGCCTAGTCACAAATTACGTTAACTAACGTAAAACAAACCAATCTGTTCAAAGTAACCGCGATAGATAACACAGTCTAATTCACTCTCTATATTGAAATAAAACTATCCTCAAATACCTCCATACTCTCTTAGCTATATCTCTAACTAACCTAATGATGCTTCATTGAACCTCGTATTCAAAATCAATATTCGAATTTACAAAACTTTGTGTTATATAGAGGTGTGCTAGGCCTATCTTATGAAACCTTTTGATTATAAAAGTAATCATAACCTGCATCCCCCTCTATATAACATTTAAGTTACATTAAAAATATAGCTTACAACAGTACCACAATAAGAAAAATAATAAGACTTGTACATTACCAGTATATTAAAGTTTCTGAATTTTCACTTAAAGAGACACATAGGCTATCTGCGCATAGTCTTCCTAAATATTTTGATAGACTAGAGGTGAGAGAGTTAGTCAACAGCATCCACTAGAGCCTGACAATCGGTGGTATTTGCTAATCGATTAATCCACAGCCCCATTAATTAAGTACATTAAATTAATCAATTAGTACAGTGTTCCACAAACACAAATCATAAAAAGAAATATGGCGGCAGGAGTTAGCAGTCACTTACGTTCACTCTAATCATCAGTTCAAAATTAATGACAATAGTAGATAACCTTAATAGCTTTTCCATAATAAAAAAGGCGAGTTTAGTTGCAGTTTTAATCACTTATATAGTTGGAATAACCAAAAAATAGTAACAATAATAAACGTTTATTCCGATTAGTTGATTACTTTCGTGACAATCGATATAATCGTTATTTCGATTAATTAATTGTTGGAATAATCCAAAAAGAGTAATAATTGGTTATATAGATTTTGAATGATCAATTTAATCTTAATTTCGAGTGAGTAATTTATGTAACACTAATGCATATAATTGCTTAAATCACCCAGCTCTACCACATACCATGAACTTTTACTTGATCGATTAGTGGGTTTTGACTGTCACCCTTATAGTACACACACATGGCCCCCAAAGTATAGTAACGGATCACTCATTTCAAGCACACTAACCACTAAACCGGGTTATTGGTTTATTTGAACCACAAACTTTCGTGTGATTTACTTTAATAAATAATGATGAAGGGTATTCGAAAGTACTTTAAACTTGTTCAAATAAGTGTTTGTTTGTTCCCGATATTTCCACTAAGCTATACAGGACAATGTAAATTTTTGTAAACGTCGGATCTGCAGTTCAGCATATTAACTACTGTTCCATGCCCTGCCCCTAAATAAACCATTAATGTACAAATACGAACTGTAAGTATGAAACTCTCATTTTTCATTTTTACCTAAATGTATTAGGCTTCCTCATATTTTTGACGATAAATGACAAAATCAATACGAAATATTAATACTTTATCCATTAAAAACTTGTACCCCCAAATAATAAAAAAATTGTAACACTGATTTTAAAGGGTTACTATAAAATTAAAATGTTTATCAAAAAATACTTAATGGTTTTAAAGTGTGTTTGTGTGGTTTTTTTTTATTATTATCATTACTTTATTTCTTGGTCTGGTTGGATGGTAATAAATATACGATATGGTTTAATCATCATCCTACTCCATGTTAAGAAAATAACACCAGTCCAGTCAGAACACAAAAATAAAAGTTTATTTATAAAAACTTAAAAAATGTTAAAGTTGGAGCTAGCTTGTTTTATTTGGAGTGGCACTTGACTTCCGACGTGACCTAAGATTATACTCTGTAGGAGAGAAAATATCAATTACAAAACTGTGAATGCAAAAAATATATAAATAAATATGACAGTAATACGTGTATCATATGGACTTCCAAAACAAAACGTTTCATGTTTACACTCAAAAAGCTAGAAGGGATGATTTTACATGCTTTTCTTGCTGTAAAAATATTTATTTCAAATATACATTCACATCTGTTAAACTTCTCTCGTTAAAAAAAAACATTCCAAATTTTCTCTTAAAAAACACTTGACAATAACCTTAACATAAACGAATTTAAAGTAAACTGAAATATTGCATGTATTCTGATCTGTCCCTGAACATATTTAAACATGCAATGGTAAGCTCATTTCAATTCCACAGAGTATTAGAATTCTTCCACACTTATAAAGAACAACTTTTATAAAAGAAATATTACACCCTACATTATTGTGTTTCTACTGTTGATAAAAACTAAAACATATCTCACCTCTTCTCCTGGGAGAGTTACTTGATGAAGGAACATTACTGGCTGCAATATGTTTTTGAGAAGGTGAGCAAGATGGTTTTTCCTTTCTCCCTAAAAGAAAAAGAAAAAAAAGATCTTCATTAACAAAGTAGTCTTGTTAAAAGTTGTTATTCAGTATAAATATATATATATTTATTGAAACTGCAACTGTAAAACTTACCATATTTAAAACTAATTTAAAAAAACAGGATTTTTGCACCCAATATAAACATCATTTTTACAGATATTTCTCTTCAAAACTTTATTAGTTACCCTAAAAATGATCATAACCATTTTATCAGTCATTATTAAACACTGAATAAATACAGATATTTACAAATCATTTTACAGATATTTATCTTCAAAACTTTATTAGTTACCCTAAAAATGATCATAACCATTTATCAGTCATTATTAAACACTGAACAAATACGATCATTTTGAAAATAATTTTTCTTTTTAATAAAAACTATTAAGTTTTATGAACTTTCCTGTTCGTCAACTTACAGAAGGTCAAAATAACTTAATATTAATTTTGCAGGTGTAACGAGTTACAAGTCCAGCACTAATCTTTAAAAAGTCAGTGTACCATTTTGTTGAGGGTTCATGTATTAATATCCAAGAAAAGCAGTTACTTTGAACAGTCTCTTCAAGCCATCCAAGCAGTGCGCTATTCCTAGTAGTAGAACAAACAGGATCTTAGGTTCTATTGACACAAATATTGAATGCAAGTTTAAAGACGTTATAATTTTTTTGTATAGATCACTGGTTAGGCCTCATTTAGAGTACTGTGTTCAAAATTGGGCTCCTTACCTATAAGAAGGACATTGAATTGTTGGAAAGGGTTCAAAAATGAAGGGCTACCATGATGATACCTGGGATGGAAAGTTTGTCATACAAGGAGAGTCTCCAAAAATTTCTCTTGGAATAACAAAGTTATAGAGGAAATCTTATTGAGGTATTCAAGATTATTAAGGAAATTGATTGTACTGATGAATCATCATTTGTTTGTATTCATGATAAAAATGTGGTAGGACAAGTAAGAACAAATATAAATTTTGACAGAAGTCAACATCAGCTTAGTTTTCGTTTTCTAATGAGGTGATTGGCCATTTAAATAAGTGTCCTTTGAATGCAGTAAATTTAAGGGAAGGCTCAATACATATTTAAATGATCAGGGTTGTTGTTGTTTTTATACAATGTTTCTTTTTATTTCAAATTATGTTTAAAAGAGCCATAGAAAAATAATACTTAATCATGAAAGACAAGTGGACCTAATATTATTTAAAATAGTTTTATGTTTGTTGATACAAAGTCCCATCTTTCATGATTTTTCTTGATGAATTACTTATTATTATACAAATATTTGGTTTTAGCAGAAAAGGATGGTTGCAAAGACTATACTGAAGAACTTTTTACACATTTACCAAGGAATTCATAAAATACATCTAAACATCTCATTATACTGATTCTCCTTTCAATTTTACCTTTGATGAAACTGAAAATAAATCTGTAACATATTGTATATGTAATTATTAAACATTTGTTCCGATATATACTGGGAAATAATAATAATTTAGGCACAATCTCTAAGATTATTCAAATACCTAAATTATTTTAGGTTATTTTATTGGTGATTGAAATGGACTTATTAACCCCATTAATCTCATTATATTGTCATACAAAACTGGTTTGAAAAATAACTTCAGTTACGCCACTTGGAAGTTATACGATAAGTTCAACAAAGTTTAGTTTTCACAAATGTATTATTCTACCTGGTAATTTCCCTTACAATTCTTTAATGTCATGAAATTAATACTCTACTCATGAAGTTGTAGCTTGTTATCACCAATATATTTTTTACATGTAAAAATTGAACGAGTCATGGGACTTACTGTAAGCTCTGCTAAATTTAAAGAAAAAATTATATTTTCTTGAACACATGTATCCCTTTTCTTTGAGTGTAGTTTTTAAAACAGATTTCTGGTTAGTAGTGTTTTTTTTATGACAAGTTAAAAAGCTAGGACTGTTATTTGTCAAAAATATAAAGATTATCTATTTTTCATCACCTTCCAGTGCCAAGAATGCAAAGCGATAATTAAAATGTAACATTCAAATAATCAGTTATGAAATTTTTGATATAAAAGGCTAGCACTAAAAATTTGCTCCAAACATTTCACATCTAAGAACTGGGTGCAATTTGCCAACTAAGCTTTCAATGGCAGTGGTAAAATAATGGCTACATTCAGATAGTAAACAACCTATTTATTTCTACTATGACATTAAATGTTTAATGACCAAATATTCATCTCACTAGGCCATTCCATCCACTAAACTAAACTAAAAGTTAGCTCTTATCATTCAAATATTTATCAAGCCTTCCCTTAAACTCCCTTAAATTAACTGCATCTACCACATTTGAAGGCAACCATTCCAAAGGCTAACCACCCTGTAAGAAAAATAAAACTGTCTTAGGCTCTTAGCTGAAAATGACTCCCTATCCTGCCAAAACTTATATATATGTCCCCTAGTCCTAACATTCTAATCATTAAGTAATAAAAAAAGATGATTCATCAACATTATCAATTCTTATAGCAATCTTATACATCTCAATCAGATCCCTTTTAACTCCTCATTTTTACAAGAGGAACAATTATGCAAATCTCATTCATTTGTAGCTGAAGAAGCCCACCAATGAGATATTGGATCAAAAATAGAAATATTTTACTACTTTCCCTAATTTGCAATTATTAACACACAGCTTCTAAAAATTATTTCTGTATCATGTTTAACAGTATAAGTGGAAAAAAAAAAATTCAATAATTTAATACGTAAAAATGACCATACTCGACTTCTTTTGAAACCAATTGTCAACGGTTTAATTCCAATACATTGGCTCTCAGAAATACTTGTTTTTTTGATACATGGTTAGTTTACTGAAAGATGTAACACAATCCTGATTTCTATCCAGTATCAATTAAAATATGAATGTATACTATTAAACTAAAGTTTATATTTAATCACCACTGAGTTTGTTTTGCCAAAACAAAAAGTAAACATGCAATTTATCACAACCTCCAGGTACCTCTATTAATTGCCTAAAGATGCTACTGCAGGAAAAAAAAAAAGACAGTGTGCTAAAGGGATCGTGACTTTCTCTGCTGGTAAGTAACGACAAGAATCACTATTCCATGATACAACTATGTACTGTTTTGCCTGGAAGTCAATCAGACTTGTTGTCTTCTGTTTTATCTTCCAGCTAAAAGTGGATCACTAAGTAAAACAGACATTTCTTGTGCAAAAAAATTTAAATAAAGTTAATAAAACGAGACATAAACATTTTTTACTTGCACAATTTAAAAGTGGATCTTGACCAATCTTTACTGTAAAATATAATGTGGTTAAAATGCATTTTATTATTATCTAAATTAGATCCATATTAATGTTATTCTCACAAAAACATGTAGCATTTATAGAATTTATCTCCTAAAAAAAAATCTCTCATGCAAGTTTTTGTATCATGGTTGACAAATTTTTCACATTACAAAATGGCATTCTAGAAATTTTGAATGAAAAACCCCAACAGATTTCTCCATTAGAAAAAATAAATTTCACACAAGTAAACAGAAATCACAACTTTCTTAACACTACATACAAAATCAGCTTACCTGAAAAACTGGTATCTGTAACAGATATATTTCTTAGTTGAACATTAGGTGAGCGTACTTCTCCCATATTACTGGATACGCCGGGCTCTTTACTATTTTCTATGTCTGACCCCTTCAGGATATTTAAGCATTTCCTTTTTGAGACCTTTGTAGATGGTGAAAAAGATTTGGAGGGTGAGACGTTATAAATTTCACTAGGCATTTCTGAAGTATCTAACTGTAATAAAACAGAAGGGTGGGAATTTTCTGTAGTGTCCTCCAATATTAGACTTCTAGACTTGGTGGGTGAAAGCTTAGGAGATGGGGAAGGATTTTCTTTAGAACATTCATCAATATCTTCTAAGTATCTTTTTCTAATGGGGTTTACTAGTTTTGAACGAGGAGTTCGTAGCCCATAGCCGTGAGATGGTGAGCTGACGGAAGATATGTCGGTGTTAGAAACAGGTTGTTGTTTGGAAGATTCATCATCTTTGAAACCGTCATCACAAACAATGGCACTATCTTTTGATGTTTCATCACCACTTTCCAACAGTCTTCTGGTTCTAAGATGAACTGTAAAATCCAAATTTGTTACATCAAAGCTTTCAGAGTCTTCAGAATCAGATACCAGCTCTTTTTCGGGCACAACGGGGTCTAAGGAGTGAGAAATAACTGGCTCAGAAATAAAACTGTGCTGTTCAGTTTCTGACTGGCTAGATCCTGTGAGTGAAGCATCTCCTTTCGAATGACTACCTAACACTGTAGGGGAGAGGAGTACAACTGGTTCTCTAGCAAGATTGTTACTCATTTGTTCATTTATGTCATGAGTAGGCGTGCGAGTTTTCAGAACACTAATATCTTCTTCTGCAAGTGATTCAAAACTGGCCAACTCTTCTTCATTGTCTGTTAATACAAAAATATTTTTCAAAGCATCATCTGATTTCAAACAAGCTTCTTTTTCAGTGCTTTCCAAGTCACAATTAGTATTAGACTGTGTTCTGACCCTAGCTGACCTCCTGAGGGTTGAGGTTTGTAACTTACTTGATGACTGAGTGGTATGTGAAGAATTAACGAGTTGAACATCATTAATGGTAGATATTTTAATTCTTTCCTTATTAACAGAATCCTCAACATCAACTGAATGATGATTATCACTAAAGTCTTCATTTGCCTCCTTGTCTATACTACCAAATAAATTTTCTTCACCATGAACAATTTTTTTCTTCTCAACTGATTTCTTTTCTTCATAAGAAGATTTATTTGGGGACTTCAATACATCATAGTGGTTGCCTTCTTCATTATTATCTTGAAGCTTTTCTTCACTACAGTTCATTTTTTGGTCCTTGCTTGGGGTTGTATTTAATATATTTTGCTTTCTGTAATTATGTTTATTTGGAGACTGTTCTATACTACCATTGAGTTTTCCATATTTACTTGGAGATTTTCTTGGGCTATAATTTAACTTTCCATCTTTACTTGGAGACTTTATTGTGCTAAAACTGAGCTTTCCATCTCCTTTACGTAAATACTTTTCTGTACTGTAATCAAGTTTTTCATCATCACTTGAAGACTCTTTTGCACCGTAACTGCGTTTTTCATCTTTACTTGGAGACTTTTCTGTACTAAAACTGAGATTTCTCTTTACTTTACTTGGAGACTTTTCTATGCTGTAACTGCATTTTTCATCTTTACTTGGAGACTTTTGTGTGCTATAACCGAGTTTTCCATCTTGGCTTGGTGACTTTTGTGTGCTATAACCGAGTTTTCCATCTTGGCTTGGAGACTTTTCTATGCTGTAACCAAGCTTTCCATCTTGGGTTGGAGACTTTTCTATGCTGTAACCAAGCTTTCCATCTTGGCTTGAAGACTTTTCTGTGCTGTAACCAAGCTTTCCATTTTGGCTTGGAGATTTTTCTGTGCTGTAACCAAGCTTTCCATTTTGACTTGGAGATTTTTCTGTGCTGTAACCAAGCTTTCCATTTTGACTTGGAGACTTTTCAGTGCTGTAACCAAGCTTTCCATCTTGGCTTGGAGACTTTTCTGTGCTGTAACCAACCTTTACATTTTGGCTTGGAGACTTTTCGGTGCTGTAACCAAGCTTTCCATCATTATTTGAAGACTTTTCTATGCTGTAACCAAGCTTTCCATTTTGGCTTGGAGACTTCTTTGTGCTGTGATCAATTTTTCCATCATTATTTGAAGACTTTTCTATGCTGTAACCAAGCTTTCCATCTTGGCTTGGAGACTTCTTTGTGCAGTAACTGAACTTTCCATCTTTACCAGGAGTATTTTTTAATTCATCTTTCTTTATATATTCGTCTTGATCTGACTTCTCATCATTATTTATAGACCACTCACTTTTACTAACTGATGACTTTAACTTTCCACTATTTTTGTTTAGTGACATTTTTTTCACAACATTACTGACATTTCTATCTTCTTGCAATGGCTTTTCTTCAACGTGATTGTATTGCCTGTGCTTACTTAACGACTTCTTATTCCTCTTTGGTAATTTCTCTTTATCGGCTTCCTGAACCTTTCTCATCTTTTTTGATCTCTCGTCTCCATTCACACTCTTTCTCTTTCTAGGATTTTGTTTCTTCTTACAATGAAGTCTTTTATCTGCATTTGGTAATTTTTCTTTTCTTTGACTGCAATGCTTATCATTAATTGGTAACTCTTCTGCTTCGGTATAATTACTTTCTACCTCCATCTTTTTACTTTCATCAGGTTCCTGAAATAATTTATCATCCAGGGAAGCTATAAGGGTGTCTACATTATCTTCCAGATGCTCTTTGCCATAAAATTCAGCTTTTTCTCCTTCTCCTTTTGTGTCAATAAAAAACAACTGGTCCTTAGTTTTCTCTGATTCTTCCTCTTCTGGAAGGTTTATATCATCAGGTGCCTCAATATCTTCACTCAACATCTGATGAAACATAAAATACAGTAATCGTCAAAAATTATATACGTGACTTAGCAGCTTTTAATTATCGTAATTTCTCAAATATAATATGCTCACAAATATAACCCGCACGCTAATAATCACAAACAAAGAGTCAAATCTGCCTTACCACTATAAATAATATGCACCATATACAGCTGGTGTTCATTAGTCATGGCCCTCTGTAACAGCTTAGCTACAATGGGGTATACGTAGTTTGTTCTGAAACATTTCCTTCCTGCATGTGCGTAAAGATGGCGGTTTTTGATTTTAATAAGACCGATTTAAAAATACACCATGAAATCAAAGCCTAACACAGCAAAGCTGCATTGGATGTTTATGGTTAAGTATCGACACTTAATTTAGTGCTTAAAGAGAACACGGCCATTTCAAGTTGGTAAGACTGGTTTAAAAATACACCCAACTACTTAGAACAGAAACCTTCTTAAACTCTCTCACTATGGGCTCGGTCGATTTGACTGATCACGTGACTCCAAATTGGCCTTTAGAGTTTCCATACTATAACTTTAAAAACAAATTTTTCATCTTCAGAAAATTTTTCAAGTTTTTAGTAAACATCACATGCCTTGTAGATAAAATTTTTTTTTTAATTTAGTATTTTAACTAAGCTTCATCATCATAGTTAAAAAGTCACTTCATAAATATTGAGCACAGAAATTTGAAAAGTATGGTTAAAATTTAATATTTCAATTAAAAAGATAAACTTGTAAGCTTTCATTTTGCTGTAATGAACCTCTGAAATGTAAGTAGTTTTTTTTTAATGCACTTTTCCTTGACTTGGAACTATTTCATAAAATAATAATATAGTACTGGTCATCACATTGTCCACCAGCAATAACTAAAAACATAGTGGTGGAATAATGGCTTGGAGATGGCTTGAATGGGTAATGAAGAAAAACTTTAATATAAGTTTAACATGACAGCAAATGTACAACGTTTCGACAAGGTTTTGTCATCATCAGGTACAAGTAATTTACACTGACACGGATATATTTATATATACAGTATGGAACAAAGAGGTCACATGACCGGATACCGTTGCAGGACTTAGAAGCGATATCTTGGCACCCCGGGGTGTTGGTTTAGAGTAGGGTTGTTTGTTCAATTAAGATGGAAAAAGTTTTTCTTCATTACCCATTTAAGCCGTCTCCAGCCATTATTAGTCTCAAAGTGGGTTCCTCGTCATCGAATTAGAATATATATTTATTTAATCAGGCAATAAGCTACTCGAAACATTGGGGT